TTTTCCAACACCATTTCCTCAGACAGCTCATCTTCAGACTCTCAGTCTGAAACCATTCCTTCATCCACATTATTGTCATTGGGTTATCTTTAAATAGAATGTCCTCCTCATTCTCCGGAGTTGAACTAGCCCAGGAGTAGCAGTTACATCATCGACATCTTCAGCTTCCATCAGTCAAATCTTGCTCTCTTCTTTGACTGACCATTATCAGATAAACTATCACCACAAGGAAGCCATATTTCATTTTGTCTGTTTATGAAACAATAAGTTGTGTTTTAATGGAAAATTAGCTGGGCACCTTCAAAGATAAAAAGAGGAAAAAGCACTGGTAAGTTTTTGTTGAGAGATTTTCTTGCCACAATAGAAAATAAGAAGAGGTATCAATTTTAAGCTTAAACAAATTTCCCAAAAACTGAAAGTAATACACTGATTGCAAATATGGTGGCGATAACACCAAAGCAAGGCTTTTCGGTAGTAGTCGTTGCTAAGGGTTGGCCAGCTCTGTTTTCCAAGGAATTTTGCAGCCTTTGCACTGAGAAATTGGATGCTGAAATTGAAAGGAAAGCCTGTTCAAAGATAAATTTTGTCGAAATATTCCAAAATACATCTTAGAGGTGTTGTTAAGGTCAGTCTTTTCATTACAGCAACGTTTGCATTCTCATTGTTATGCACATTTGAGCGTAGATAACCCAACAGAATGGTGACATTTTATTGAAATGCCGCATCAACTTTTACTGTATGTTTTCTGTTTTAGCTTGTTTTCAACATAAAGCATGGAGAGGCCTGTGTAGAAGATGCATGTGAACAAACTTAAAGAACTTCTCCGCAGCAAGAATGTGAGCCTCAAAGGACTAACAATGAAAGCACATCTAGTCACAAAGTAAGCAAAGACTGTTTTAAGATTTTATTTGAGCTTACGTTGAATAAATTTTGAACCTGTTTAAACCTTCATTTGTTTTATTATTTCCGTGTATCTGATGACAAATTTAAGATAAGCGTCCTATATTCATTTCCTTTTGTAGAGTGAAAGAAAATTCACCCGCAGTGGCGACAGACATTCCGCAAAATGAAAATGACAATCAAGGGAAAGCAGCCTCTTCTCGTCAGACAAAAAAGAGTGATTTAGAAATTGTCAGGGAGAATGAAGAAAAATTCCGGTTCTGTCCCCCAGAGAAACAAATGGACAAAATGAAAGTGAAGAATGATCATCGCAGTAAATTTTCCAATTTAAGCAACTGGAAAGAAGCCTGAAAAAAAAAACATGACCTCACTTCCAATGTGTGGCTTCATAGCTCAGTTGGTAGAGCATTGCACCAGTATTGCAGAGGTCACGGGTTCGAAACCTGTCGAAGCCCTGATTATTTTTTTCAGGCTTCTTCTTTCCAGTTGCTTCAATTCGAAAATTTACTGTGATGATCACTCTTTACTTTCATCTACAACCACAGTTCAAATATGAATTATTTCATATCTACTTCACATCAAATGGACAAAATGTTGGACAATCTTTCCCCATTCATGTACAATTCTACTGTGAAGTGTTAGAAACTCAGCGGAGGCAGTGTGGCCAAGTGGTTAGAGTGCCGGATTTGAAATCCATAGGTCCTGGGTTCAAATCCTGTTCTGACTGCTAGCTGATGTTGTTCTTGGTTGCCCCGAGTTCAATTTCTCGGCTGCACTTGTAAATAGCCAACTGGTCTGCCTCCTGCCAGTTGGGATTCTTAACCTAGTTATGTCTATTTGAATATTTATCATTGTTTGTTTACATTGGTCCTGAAAAGCCCCAATGGGGAGTGGCCAATTAAGTGTACATCCGTACATCCATACATAACTCTGGTAAAAACATTCGACAGCCCCCTCCCCCCCCGACTACATGGTGATGAAACCATTCAAGGGTGGTGTGAATTTTTTTATTCAAGGTTACCTCCACAATGTTTTAGTCAAGCTCCACAAAGGAAGCAAGACCTTCTACATCAGAGCCCTTCACTATCGAAGTCTTCGGAAAAATGAATCCCCACAGAAAATTAGGTTAGCAATTTCCACTAAACAACCCTATGATGTTCTTGCATCATCTTGCACCTGTGTAGCTGGGTCTCTAGGATTTTGTAATCATGTTGTGGGCCTAATGTATCTTGTTTCTCACTACTACTTGACAAAGCTAAATCTATTCCTGATGATTTGGTTTGTACCTCCCTTCCCCAGCAGTGGCATAAGCCAAGAGGGAAAAGTATCTCATCAGAACCACTGATGGGCATGGTTTTTAAGAAACCCAAATTACACATGTCTGGTGGGCGGAGCCAGGGTTTGACACTAACGGTAGCCAACTAGCCACAGACTAGTAGAAATTTATTTTTGGCTTGTAGGTTTTTAATTTCCACTAGCCACTTTGGCTAGTCAACAACACGAAATTGGCTGAACTAGTTTCTGCCTTCTTCAAGGAAGACAAACACAAAATTTACACTTTTCTCGGAAACAAGGTCAGAATTTCATTGTGGACATACATGTATCATGGTACCAGGCATGTGGTGTTCAGCATGTATGCAAATTTAAGTTTGTCTACTTTTTGCTGGGTGGCACGCAAATGGGGAACTGAGCATGTTAATTTTGATGAAAGAAATATTTGACAAACAAGACAGCATTTCCTGAAAGCATACATCAATGCTCTTTTTTGTTATGAAATTTTTTTCATGCGCAAAATAGTGCAGAACTGTAAAGGGATAACATTTACTTTAGCATAACAATACATGGGTGATTTGTCGCTGTATGCATACTTACAAACTTACCACCACAGAAATAATTAGATGAGAAAGATTTATTTCCTTCAACATTTAAACCAGCCGTTTTTAGCAGTCAAATTTCGCCAACAACAGTTTACAGTATTGTTCAGATAGTTGTTTTACTTTTGAAACATTTCTACAGCACCTGTCTGTGAAGAAGTCTCCGAGAAGAAGTTGGCAAAAGTTTTAACTGACGTCTTGGAAGTCTCGATATTTTTCCAAGGAAGTCTCAGAGAAAAACAGAGTTCTAAAAGTCTTTTCAGGAACTGGAACTTTTTTGAAATTAGTTCACTGGTAAGTACAGTATAATTACCAACGTTATGTATTAAAGAGAATCGCTTCCGTCGTGCTTTCAAGTCTTGCTAATAATACTGCTGTTATTGGACCTAAGTGAAATTTTCGTGACACGTTAGTTTTGCGGATTGCTTGGCTAGTAAAAAATGGTTTTGGCTAGTAACATCTAAGTTATCACTAGCCACTAGGCTAGTAAGTTGAAAAGTTC